ATGCAATAGCGTCATCCACCGATCCAAGAACACGTCGTTTACTCACATCTAGATTTCATTTATCTATTTAAAAATCTATATAGAATTCAGAAGTTTTGGGGGCATATGCTGCGCAGGCATTCTAACCCTACAAAAAAAAGTTTGGTGGCCCCGGCAAACCAAGCTTTTGGTCGGTTTTGGACTACTGTTTTTTTTTAATTGGTTTTGATGAGTTTTTACAGGTTTTCGGCGGTTTTTCGACGGGTTGTGGCGAAGCTGCTTCATCAAAAATCTGGTAAAACCTGTTTTTTTCTCAGAAACTAGCTCAAAACCAGGTTTTGATACCTCGACCCGCTTTTTTCAGGGATTTGGTTGATGTAGGATATAAATAAATAAATAAACAAATAAATAGATAATCCCTTCCTCCTAATACTAAACCCCCGCCCCTTAATAATAAACACGTCAGGTAGTTTTTAGTATTAGGGTGGTATTTATTATTAGGGAACCCTATTAATAAAATTAAAACCTTAATAATAAAACTATTTTTTCCGATTCCAAAATCAATCAAATTTCTTTATATAACGCAATTAAAATATTGCCAAAAATTGGATTTCGAAGCTTCCCCCTAATATTCAAGTAAAACCCTGAATAATAAAAACTATTTTTTCCGGTTTCAAAATCAATTAAATTTCCTTATATAACGCAATTAAAATATTGCCAAAAATTGGATTTCGAAGGTTCCCCCTAATATTAAATTAAAACCCTTAATAATAAAAACAAAAAAAAATCGGACGGACCCTAATAATAAACACCCCGGGGTGAACTAGTTTTTGTATTAGGGGGCAAAATCCACAAATGGTAGCTTTATTTTGAAATTGTTTTCTAAAGGGGACCAATTAAAAATCAAATTGGCCAATCTGAATTTTTCTGAAATTGGAGATGGATGCTTGTTTTTAGATGTTTTTAGTATTTGGGGGACGTTTAGTAATAGGAGGAAGGGATTATATATATATATAATATATACATATATTTCAAATCTATATAAAATTCAGAGGTTTTGGAGGCATATGCTGCGCAGGCATTCTAACCCTACAAAAAGATAAAGGTTTGGTGACCCCGGCACAACAGGTAGGCAAGTTTGATCAAACAACTTTTGAACATTTTTATCCACATTTACCAGCATAATACGGACTGAAAGGTAGAATTTTAGTAGAATTTCTACGTCCATTTTGGTACGTCATTCTAACTTTCAAAGGAAAAAATTTGGTGGACAAAACGTCATTCTAACTTCCAGTCCGTCGGTATAATCAATTGAAAAAGCTGAAAGGAATTATGTCTATCTGCCGCAGTTTGTGCTTCTGCAATAATTTCAGAAAATCTATGCATGCGCACCAGTCGTGAATGTCTACGTTGAGACTTGGCCAATGTGGTGAACCTGACAGCGTGGTACCAAAACTGCAAAATTATCCGCAGGTCAAAAATGCCATGACTCATCCGTTTGGAAATAGTCAAGTAGGCAGTCCTATGATCCCATTTGCAGTAAATCTTGGGAGCAGTGTCGTACCAAACATCATCCCGCATGGATGTAGAAGCAGGAAAAAATTGATGGAAGTCCGTTAAAATCAAATCATGAAGATGCTGAATAATCGTCACATCATGAGGATCAGACTGTTGCATGTGCTGAAATGCAGTCTCCCTCGTCTGTGTGATAAAGTCTCGCCATGCAGCAGTATCCTCGAGATATGCAAAACGACATTTGACTCGTTGTTGGAAAGTGCATCCTCTGTTATCAGGAGACAGCGGTGCCGGGATCCAATAACGATTCAGCTGAAACAGAATGGGGCAGTGATCAGTCTTCGACTCTTTCACAGGTGCATCCCATAGATATTTGACATCTCTGGATGCACCATCTGCCATATGTTGTCGAGTGATGCAGAAATCAATCCTACTGCTGCAGTTAAGTCCAATGTATGTTGGGCCATTTTGGGGATGCCATGAGTTGAGAACATTCAAATCAAAAGTACGGAGAATATGCATGAAAATGTCCATGTCACCGTGATGTGTTCCCTCCCTCATACCGTCCTGCCAGTGATAGCCTTTGTGACCAACATGGGAATTCTCCATGGGCAGTGAGCAGTTGAAGTCCCCAGCCAGAGCCAAGACATGCCTAGTGGGTAAATGCCGCAGGGAAGTCTCAAGGCATTCCCACCATCTCGAGCGATCTGCTTGTCGAGCAGAGTGGCTGTTGAAACAAAACTGGTAACAAGCAAGAATGTCAATGTACCTGGGTTGAAGCCGTAACTGGACATGTACAAGGCGTCCAGGCATGCATTCTTGCCAACGAATGTCAGAGTTACTACAAACTTTGCGACGAATCATCACCAATATTCCACTTCCACGTGACTTGGGGTCACCTGAGTGCACATACTGCCAATTGGAGTCTTGCCACTCCCCCGACCATGACCAACGTGTCTCGACCAAAATCAAGGCTGATAGATCCATGTCCAATGCCCATAGTCTAATTTCGTCCAACTTGGATTGAGACAGGCTGGCAACATTCCAGGTAAGGAACTTGAAGCGTCTGCGACCACTCTGTTGAGTGTTGTGTCTGCACAAGTCCACATGTCCAGAAGGCCGAAGAGACCGGTTTGAATGTTGGTGGGTGCACTGTTGGCGAAGTTGTAACGGGAAGTCAGAGGGTATGTAGCACCTACCCCGATACCAGCTAAGGCCATCTCTGCATGCACGGTGATAGGCTCTGCGCAGGCTGCGTTTCTTCACAAAAGAATCAGAGGGTGTCCAGCTCAGTGTTTCTGAGCATGCTGTTGGCCGCGGTCCATGTAGCTTCGCACCATCAATCGGTAGATCTTGGAGCCATGATGGTAGCGGTGCTTCAGCAGTTGTCATGGAACAACTGCAACCCTCACCCCTGTAGAGCCTGAGTGTTGAAATAGTAAAGATGCAACACACAAGGTGCAGCAGAATGGCTCTACACCTGGACTTGGGACCAGGTTTGCGCTGTTGAAGCAAAAAGCGCTTTGCCGTCTCAAAGTCTGTACCAGGATGGTCTATCAAAATGTTGAAGATGTCGAAGATGGATGCCACGGCACGTAGTGCTGTATAATACAAAAATGAAATTGAAATTGTAATAAAGGACAATTGTAAGGCGCCACACCGTTCAAGGGCAAGAGCCAGCAGGAACAAAGTCACTGTGCACCAAAAATTGTAAGTGAATTGACAAAAAGAGCCAAGGGCCAGAAGCAGAAAAAGGGAGCCCACCCCTGCAATAAGAGAAGAGCAAAAGTCAGAGCAGAACTTATCACAAGGAAGACAGACAAAGTCAATGTTTCCACCGGAATAAGTCGCCCAGAATCCTGAAGGATCTGCAGAAAATTCGCTGTCAGCCAGGTGAACCGAAGCAGTTGCAATGTTATGGAACGAGAAGAGCCAGTCCCAGCAAATCAAAGCAAAAACTCGTGGCCACTGGATGTCAAAATGATCAAAAACCGAAAGGCACCAAAACAGCAGATGCCTCCCGAGACCACGTGTGATGGATCGCAGGGTCGTGGTCACAATCTCGGGCAATCGGACAGTACAGCCCTGAGAAATAAACAGCACAACGAGCAATGGCAAAACTAACCTCCAGAGATGAACAGTCGTGGGGCTGCCGCGCTGTCACCGTAACAGACTTTGAGAGCGCTACTCGTGAGCGCAAAGGGGCTTTGTGTGTGTGTGTTTTTTTTTTCACGCACCTTTTCTTTGCAAAAGTTCGCGCGCACCGCACCAGCATTAGGTGGCCTTCGTGGGAAGGTCTTGGCAGGAGATGCTAGCATGCCCTAGGCACAAAAACTAGAGATCTCTGAATTGGCTTTACAAAAAGAATTAGATATCACTATCGGGATGTTGCAGTGGATTGCAGCCAGGGTGGCTGAGCTTAGCATGATGGCTTCGGACGGCAACACAGTGAAGCAGCCAGTCTCTGAGTAGGCGCATGGTGACACTGACATGCACTATAAATAGCGGATGAAGGTGAGACAGGGAAACAACAGCGATTGGGAAGCAACAGCTTGAGGGATTTTTTTTTTGTTTTTGTTTTTTTTCTTTTTTTTTTTAATACTGGCCTTCTTGAAACGTTGGGCTTTGCCTCTTGGACCAGTTTTTTTTTTTTTTTTGGGCATCTTTTGGTGGCCCTGGTGCTCCTGGGGGTACACTCTGGGTTGCAGAGGGCTTGTAAACATCGGGGACAAGCCAGCGGGGAGCTGGGTGCATGGGGGTAAAGGCTGAACATCGGAAAACATGCAGCTGTGAGCCAGCAAAAGGGTGAAGTCATATAGCACGGCATTCAAACAACTGTAAGGCATGAACACCTAAGGCTATAAAGTGTGCTGCATGCAGTTCCATCGTCAGATCCTGGGAGGACAGCAAAAGGAAACCGAATTGTGAAGGCTCGGATCCAGTGCAGGTACAGGACAGGGCTTTTACTCTGCTGCCTGTGTTTTGAGTTGCGGTTGGAACCCCTGACCCTTCTTTTTTTTTTTTGTTCTTTAGCCTAAATGGCTCAGCTCGCAGGGCTTCTGGTGCCGATAGGCTGGGCTGTTGCAGTGGTGTGGCGTGCCTAGTCAGGCACCGGAAAGACAAAATGTCGGTGGGTCAGCCTGCAGCGCTAGGGCCGCTGAGGTTGGCACGAATCAGGGTGCACTCTCATTGCTAGCCAGGTCTATAGCCTGCAATTGCCAAAATGGCCGGGAGGCTATTGGGATGGTGAAACGTAGATCAGGCAATAAATGAATTAGAAGCAACAGCTGAGCCTAAGATTTTTTTTTTTAATACTGGCCTTCGTGAAACGTTGGGCTTTGCCTCTTGGACCAGTTTTTTTTTTTTTGGCATCTTTTTGTGGCCCTTACTCACGGGTACACTCTGGGTTGCAGAGGGCATGAAAGCGGGCGCAGGCAGGGGAGCCTACGAGTCTTCACAACTGCATGCTGTCTTTGGTTGGCATAAGCGGCCATGGTTGGGTCTGATCAGTCTGGCATTGCATTTTCATCGGTGCCCTCAACAAAGTGACTGAGCAAGTCAGAGGCCTGTAGCATTCTTGTGGGCTCAGGTGGGCGCAACATGAATTGATTCAGGTCAGGCCGCAGGTCATGTAGTGAAATCTGATCACATCTTCCCAGCCAAAAACAGGAAATGTTACGCAGAAGCCATGATGGCTCCTTCCATACCGGCACCGCCTTTTGCCAGTCGTCTGTGAGCAAAAACATGTATGGATGGGAGGTGTCCGCATTCATCTGCACTTTCATCAGTGCACGGCAGTGTCCAGCAGTGTCGTGGCCTAAGTGGGCAATTGCAGCAATGACTTTGTAGTCGTGCCATGCAGTATCCAGGCCGTCACCAGCATAAATTGGCACTTCCAAACCCCAATGAAAATTGACTGGGATGTCGCACTTGATGACAGAACCATCGCCTGAGCGCACGTGTCGATCAATCTGAACACACAGGATGGGTGTTGGATGTAACAGTGCAGTCATCATTCCATCTTGATTCGACCAGTCACGTAGCATTTGCAATAGAGTAATGGAATCATCTTGCATCAACGCTGGATCAAAACGCAGAATCAATGGAGTGAAGGAGTCACTTTCATCAGTGGTTTCCGTAAGCATTCCAATCTGGATTCTCTTTTCCCAGCTCATGTTGATGCATGTGAATTGCATCCCCCTAATGAAGTGCGCCAAAAATTCCACTGGGTCACCTTGTCTGCCCAAATCGTGCCACTGCGCAAACATTGGTTGAAAGCAGGGAATAGTTGAAAGTTCAACTGGCCTGGAGTCATGATTCAGAAGCATTTGGGCAATCTCAGTGGCCTGTGGTCCCCACTGATCTAATGTAAAAGTGCGCATACTCAGATAGGCCCACAGCGTTGTCATGACCGCCGCATTCACAAAGCACCAGTTGGAGTCATTGGCAAGCTGAAGCGATGCAAGCCCTCGTAGAAGATCCTGTCTGCTGGGTGTAGGAGTGCCTGTAGGGGCTATGAGGTCTGAGTCTTCGACTTGCCCTGGTGTTTGCCGTGGTTCTTCCCTCCCCCCTTCCCCATGAGTGATTGTAGGTGCATCCCCTGCTTGCTCTGGTGCAACGTGTGAGGCTTCATCGACATGCCCAGGAGTCCCCATACTGTCGAACCTTGCAATGTCGACAACAGGACTTGTAGATCGTCCGCTCGCATGGATATTTGCCACATCCAGGGCACCACTTTCTCTGCTGAGAGCGGTCTCAGACTGTGGAATTTCACTGTGACCTGTGGGTCTTTCAGGATCTCCCTCAGTTGCTCGGCATACTTCACCATCCGTTGGATGGGGATGGGAGTCTGTGTGGTGCTCCTCAGTGCCTGCTGCGGTGCGTTCCAGCGCTGAAAGGGGAAGTCCCCTTCTGGTGTGAGCATCCCGTGCTCCAGCGCCGCCAGCTTCAATGGGTCCTTGTCGTTGTTGGTTGCCAGGCGTTGAAGGCGCTGTTGGAGGATCTCTGCCAGGTGCTGGGTGAGGACACACCTCAGCGGTGTCATTGGGATGTCCTGCATCGGCTCCTGTTTCACCTGTAGCTTCTGCTTCCATGTTGCCGCTGTCTGGATCAGTGAGGGTAGGATGGCCTGAGGCTCTGTTTGCATGAAGCAAATCCATGAGTCTTGCCTTTTCCATGCCTGCTGCTCCGCATCCAGTTTCAGGAGCAACTGTCCCATCGCCTGGAGGATGCTGGCGTCGGCGTTGTGCTCTGCCTTGTTGGGGTTGGCCTTCTTGGCTTTCTTGTGGCCTCTGTCGTCTTCTGGACGCTCGTATCGGTCCATCTTGAGAAGGGGCCCCATGAGCTTGAAGGTCTCCAGCATCTCCGAGTCCTCTGCCGTGTACTCCACGGTGGCGTCCATGATCTTGCAGAAGAAGAGCAAGTTGCAAGAGGACTGGGCACTGATGTTGCAGGTGAATTTGAGCCAGCAGAGATCTGTCGGCCCTCTCAGATTCTGTTTCTTGGCCTGTGGCTGGATAATTGTAGATCTGCAGGCACGCATCACACTGAAAGTCAGTAGTGTTGTCTCGACCAATGGGGTGTATCAGTGATGGCATCAGCATGTGATATCCCTTGGTATCTGAGGCATGAGCGCTGCACAGGTGGTCACGCAGTTCAGCTGGATGGCATTGAAGTGCACAGAGCAAGCATCTGGTGCGCAGAATGGAAATCATCCGTGGATCACTCCAAAGCTGTGTGAAATTGCGTTCAATCAAACAGTCTTCCAACACTGCAGCTGCTGGGTTCTGCTGAATGGCTTGCAAAAATTGACGAATGGTGACACGTTCAAATTCCCAAGGCAAGAACAGGGGCAAGGCCAGTCTCTGTACCATCATGCCGATCTGCCTGACAGAAACACATATATGTTGTAAACCGCTGGCATTTGTCATGGGATTGCAAAGACATCCAAACTTGCGGCTGGCTGCAAGCAGCAGCTGCACATGGGGTTGCGACTCTTTCCATAGCAAACTGTGTACGGTTTGAAGATGGAGTGACAAATCCCCTGTGCGTTTGAATGATGTATGGCAAAATTGGCAAGTCAGGGTCAGCGTCAAACGCTTCATGGGTGCCTGCCGCAGAGTGGCAATGGTGCCATGTTGGATGAGCTCCTGCCATTCTTGAGCAATCGGAAGCTCTGATGGCATGCGCAGCGGGTCAAAGCTTGGGCATTGTCCCAATGTGATGTGATGCCGGACTGAGGATTTTTCCGTGAAAATGGCCGCACAGTGTGCGCATGCTGGATTGTTGTCCAGCAAGTCTCTCAAGGGGTCCCAGTCCTGTGGTTCCAACCGATGTACAGTATGCAAATGTTCATGCACTTGCTGTAGCTCCTGAAAGGTGTCCCCACAAACATCGCATCTGAGCACGTCGGCACCTGGCTGTGCATAGGAGATGCCTGTGCTGTCTGTGTTCACCAGAATCAGCGCTGCTTGCGTCATGACTGGACAGTGGTGCACTCTTCGAAAGCTTCGACTGCAAAAACTGCACGGTGAATTTGTGGCTTGAGACTTACACAACTGACTGGCCTTAGACATGACATGTGGCAACAGCTGTCGATGCTGCGTACGCAGATGCAAGTTGAGATCCTGTGGCCGATTGCTGAACAACCCACAAAGAATGCAATGGTTTGTCATATCTTTGGTAGCTTCTGGCAGGGACTGCAGATCTCGCCATCGACGGTGCCGTATGCATTCTAACACTGTAGCGCCAAAAGGTTTGGACAGTAGCAGGGTCAGGTGGGCCTCTGTCAGTTGCGGGTATTGACCTGGCTGAGCATCAGGGGTGGCCAGGCGCAAGCTCTGTGAGGCCAGTGGCCTGATGGGCTGTACCTGGCAGCAATTGCGTTCCAGGTGAATCCGGAAATTGCGCCATGTGGGAAATGTCTCATAACAATGTGAGCACTGTGGCAATCCTCTATGTGCATACGATGCAACCGTTATCACATATGTGCGAAACTGAGGTTTGTCATGCTCTTGAGTCATGTGTCGTCTCAAATTGGCAAGAGATGAGCTTCGAAAGGAGCAAAAGTCACAGTGAAATGGTTGGGCCAGCGCCTCATCATCAGGAATGGACATGTGCACCTGGCTTTGCTCTTGCCACGTGACGTGTACCAACTGCAGTAAGTGTTGCAGGTGTGTCCAATCCACCGTAGTGACTATATCATCTGATTGCACTGTCATGAGGCGTAGACCTAGTGTGCGACGTAGCTTGCAGCCGGCATGAAACAGCAACTCAAGCGGATGGTGTAGTCCATGATGTTGTAACACATTCAAATGAGTGTTGCCTGTTCTGAAGCTGTGATCTCCCAAAATTCTACGGTACATCTGAAAAATGCATTGTTGAATCTTGAGCAAATCTGCCAATGAAAAGCCTACTGCAAAGAGCCCGTAAACGAGTGTTGAAAAAATGCACGTTTGCCACATCTGCAATCGGGCACGCAGTGAGATTTGCCTGGCAGTGAGCCATCGTCTGAGGCGCGCAAAAGTGTGATTGGCAGCCTTGATGCGTGATTTGACTGTGTTTTGTTCAAACAAGTGATAGCTGACAATAATACCAAGATACTTGGCCTGGACATGTACTGGCAACTGAGACTGCGAACCATCTGCACGTGGAATGGTTATGTAGTACCCTTGGGGCCCCTTTTTGATGGTGTTTGCCAGGACCTTTCGACAGTTGGTGCCACTGATCTTTAAAATGGCATGAGATTTCTCAAGGGAAAGCTGGAGTCCTACCGTAGCCAACAAATCCAAAAGTATGCCTACTCTTGCTATGGCCTGTTTGAGTTGTTCAGCACTATAGAAGACCTCACAACTGTGTAGGTCATCCGCAAAAAGTGTCAAGCACCTTTTGACCCAATCGGCACTGAGCTGGTTGGACAGCTGGTATATCATGTCCAGTGTGTAACATGACCATAGCTGTGGAGCTGCACGACATCCTTGTCTAACCCCGCAGTCTGTGGGTACTGAATGGGGAGTGACGCCGTCCATCACAATGTAGGCTGTATCTCGATGCCATTCCTCCAGGATGGTTACGATTGCCTGGTTGATGTTCAACTGGCGCAAGAAGGCAAAGAGAGCTGGTCTCGGTACTAAGTCGAAGGCTTTGTTTGCGTCCAACAGGACCTGTAGGCCACCACATACAGGATAGCTGGGGACCGCTGCAGCTCGTTGGTGCACACTGCGCCGTTGCTGCTGGGTCAGCTGTCTGACTTGCTGGCAATGTTGAATGACCCTCCTGATGGCGTCATAGGTGGATCTTCTGCGCATGAATGCAAACTGTGGCCATGGACAAATCAAAGGCTGAACATCACTGGCAAATTTCTCTGTAACCAAACCGAGCACGCACTTGCCGACCGGCTCTAATAGAGCCAGAGGCCGAAGATGGTGAAGGCAGTCTGGAGTCTTATTGGGTTTGGGTATGAAGGTCAAATGTGCAGCTTTCCACTGGGAGGGTACAAAAATCGGTGTCTGCTCCCACCAGCTTTGTAATTTGGAGTGAAAAAAGTCTGCAACAATGTGTGCATTTGCCCTCCAGCATACCCCAGGGAGGCATGTGCGTGCTACTGACTTGGTGACTGGTGTTTTCAGCAGTTCTCGGATCAAGTCATCAACTGAAAAAGGGACTCCCACCTGCTGTGGCCCAGATTGAGGAAGGTCTTGTCCTCTGTACCAGATGCGCTGTATATATTCCGTCGTAAGTGTTAAGGTCTGTTCAGTGGTGGCTGGTGTGCCATCCGACATGCGCAATCTGATTCGTCTTTTGGGCTGCTTGGGGGTGTATTTCAAAACGGCCTGATATACTGCAAAGCTGTCATGTCGGCTGGCTGCGCAAGCAACTTCCGTCATCAAATCATGTTGCCGCAGTTTCTTGACTGTCTTACCATGTTGATGATGTTGTCGATTGAGACTGCGAAAACGACCGTAGTGAAACCAGGCCTGAAAAATGGTCCTCATGTCCGCATGTGTGAGTTGTTGCATCATCGAGCGGTGATGCCATTTGCTTCGGATGAGTTGATGGGATGCGCTGGAAAAACCTGATGCCACATTATAATGCTGTGAAACACCTCTGGCGGCTGGAAAGGCTCTGTGAAACACTGGTAAAAGCTGTTGATGCAATTCATCAATAAGGCTTTCGTCGCTGTGTTGTCTCGAAATGAATTCATGAAAATGCTGGGTGAAATCCTGGTGAAACTGTTGCCACATCTCACTGTTGTCCTGCCACTCTCTTCGGCATCGGAGTCTCTGCGGGAAGGTGCATTCCTGAGACTGGGCCTGCTTGGTATATTGAAAGGGAATTTTCCTGATGGAAGCTATCATTGGCAAGTGCCTGGCTCCTGTGGTGGGCAAAAAACCTGCCTCTGGGAGAATTTTGACATCCTTGGCACAAGCGTCGACATCTGCCATGCGCATGATCATATGATCGATGTTGGAGACATTGCGGTCATGGACAAACGTTGGGGGATTTCTTGCATTCCAACTATTCAATGTTGTGAGGTTATAGCGCTTGAGAAAATCCATGAACCTATCAGTGTCCTTATGCGGGTGGCACTTCCTCACATTGGTGTCCCAGGTGCTAGTGGTGGTGCCCACATGTGGACTGTGTGGGATGGCATTGCAGTTAAAATCCCCAACAAACACTGCACAGTTGCGATTTGGAAGAGTTCCCGCCAACTTGTCAAGTGCAGTCCAAAAACACTGTCGCCTGTTGTCCTTGAAGTTGGCATGATTAGCCGTGTGTTGATAGCAACCTATCAGATCTAGAGCCCTTTTGTTGTACTGGATGCGCAGGTGGCATAGTCTCCCTGGTATAACTGATGCAAAGCTAAGTTGGTGCATGGAACAATGACTGCGTCGGATCAAAAAAAGCAGGCCATCTGAGTAGTCATCCGACGTTCCACAATGCAAATGATACCAGTGCTGATCTGTCCACTCTGACGAGAAACACCACCTTGTTTCAGAAAGTACCAGTGCATCAATGGCTACGTCAGTTGCCCAAAGTTTTATCTCTTGCAATCGAGTGGCTGAGAGTCCGCCCACGTTCACATGACCAATCTGCAAGCGTGACTTTGGTGCAAATGAGGGCTTAGCATCACGGTGGTGAGAGTTGGGTCGATTGACCCTGATGGCTCCCTGTTGCAAGCCTCTGGAAAATTGATCTGGTGTCAGACATTTGCCTCTGTACCAAGCGCAGCCTGATTGAACAGCTCGTCGGAAAGCTCTTTTGTAGCTGCGCTTTTGTATACTGCCAAGAGATCGCATAGTGAAGAAGCCCTCCTCCGGACCGAAGTCTCTCTGCGGTGCACTGTCATGTATTTTCGCTGCAAAAAGAGCAGTCAAATCAGCAGCCGAAAACTCGGCTTCAGCTTCCACCCCAGTCCATGACTGACTGGAGTAACCCTCACCCCCGCTCTGCAATGGCGTACTTGCATGGTTTGTCATCAATGATAAAAGGATCCAAAAGAAGATCCTGGTCTGAGCTACACTGCAACGTCGCTTCTCAGTGGCAGAGCGCCCGGACTTGGGACCGGGTTTGCCCTCAAGGGTGAAATCTGTGTGCGTCGCAGTTTCTGTCGACACGGATTGAGTGTGCCAGTCTTGTATATTGGAAAATGCAAGAATCTGTCTCGTCACAAGCCGCTGCAACCAAAATTGAAAATGAAATGTAAAATTGTTGGGGAGCCACCCACCAGAAAAGGCCAGTATAGAAATTGCAAACAGAAAGACTCCAGTGGCAAGCAATGCAATTTGTGTTGAATGGTCTGATTGTTGCCCAATCTGAGATAGAACAAGGGCCTGTGCCACCTGATGGATCTTTGTCAGTCCAAAATGTTGAATGTGCAGCAAAAAAAGAATGGGAAAAAGTCTCAAACAGCAATGAAGTGTAGACCTGGTCCAGTTTGTGCTCATGTGCAATGCAGCCGCTGTGATCTGAAGAGCAGTGAAGAAAGCGGTCAATGGCGAGTCACAGCAGGGACGCAACGGGTCACGAGACTCTCTAGGGGCACCGTTCACCTATCGTGAACATTTGAGCGCCACTCTCGAGGTGGCAAAGGGGCTTGTGTGTGTGTGTGTTTTTTTTTTCACGCACCTTTTCTTTGCAAAAGTTCGCGCGCACCGCACCAGCATTAGGTGGCCTTCGTGGGAAGGTCTTGGCAGGAGATGCTAGCATGCCCTAGGCACAAAAACTAGAGATCTCTGAATTGGCTTTACAAAAAGAATTAGATATCACTATCGGGATGTTGCCGTGGATTGCAGCCAGGGTGGCTGAGCTTAGCATGATGGCTTCGGACGGCAACACAGTGAAGCAGCCAGTCTCTGAGTAGGCGCATGGTGACACTGACATGCACTATAAATAGCGGATGAAGGTGAGACAGGGAAACAACAGCGATTGGGAAGCAACAGCTTGAGGGATTTTTTTGTTTTTTTTTCTTTTTTTTTTATACTGGCCTTCTTGAAACGTTGGGCTTTGCCTCTTGGACCAGTTTTTTTGGGGGGGGGGGGCATCTTTTGGTGGCCCTGGTGCTCCTGGGGGTACACTCTGGGTTGCAGAGGGCTTGTAAACATCGGGGACAAGCCAGCGGGGAGCTGGGTGCATGGGGGTAAAGGCTGAACATCGGAAAACATGCAGCTGTGAGCCAGCAAAAGGGTGAAGTCATATAGCACGGCATTCAAACACCTGTAAGGCATGAACACCTAAGGCTATAAAGTGTGCTGCATGCAGTTCCATCGTCAGATCCTGGGAGGACAGCAAAAGGAAACCGAATTGTGAAGGCTCGGATCCAGTGCAGGTACAGGACAGGGCTTTTACTCTGCTGCCTGTGTTTTGAGTTGCGGTTGGAACCCCTGACCCTTCTCTTTTTTTTTTGTTCTTTAGCCTAAATGGCTCAGCTCGCAGGGCTTCTGGTGCCGATAGGCTGGGCTGTTGCAGTGGTGTGGCGTGCCTAGTCAGGCACCGGAAAGACAAAATGTCGGTGGGTCAGCCTGCAGCGCTAGGGCCGCTGAGGTTGGCACGAATCAGGGTGCACTCTCATTGCTAGCCAGGTCTATAGCCTGCAATTGCCAAAATGGCCGGGAGGCTATTGGGATGGTGAAACGTAGATCAGGCAATAAATGAATTAGAAGCAACAGCTGAGCCTAAGATTTTTTTTTTTAATACTGGCCTTCGTGAAACGTTGGGCTTTGCCTCTTGGACCAGTTTTTTTTTTTTTGGCATCTTTTTGTGGCCCTTACTCACGGGTACACTCTGGGTTGCAGAGGGCATGAAAGCGGGCGCAGGCAGGGGAGCCTACGAGTCTTCACAACTGCATGCTGTCTTTGGTTGGCATAAGCGGCCATGGTTGGGTCTGATCAGTCTGGCATTGCATTTTCATCGGTGCCCTCAACAAAGTGACTGAGCAAGTCAGAGGCCTGTAGCATTCTTGTGGGCTCAGGTGGGCGCAACATGAATTGATTCAGGTCAGGCCGCAGGTCATGTAGTGAAATCTGATCACATCTTCCCAGCCAAAAACAGGAAATGTTACGCAGAAGCCATGATGGCTCCTTCCATACCGGCACCGCCTTTTGCCAGTCGTCTGTGAGCAAAAACATGTATGGATGGGAGGTGTCCGCATTCATCTGCACTTTCATCAGTGCACGGCAGTGTCCAGCAGTGTCGTGGCCTAAGTGGGCAATTGCAGCAATGACTTTGTAGTCGTGCCATGCAGTATCCAGGCCGTCACCAGCATAAATTGGTACTTCCAAACCCCAATGAAAATTGACTGGGATGTCGCACTTGATGACAGAACCATCGCCTGAGCGCACGTGTCGATCAATCTGAACACACAGGATGGGTGTTGGATGTAACAGTGCAGTCATCATTCCATCTTGATTCGACCAGTCACGTAGCATTTGCAATAGAGTAATGGAATCATCTTGCATCAACGCTGGATCAAAACGCAGAATCAATGGAGTGAAGGAGTCACTTTCATCAGTGGTTTCCGTAAGCATTCCAATCTGGATTCTCTTTTCCCAGCTCATGTTGATGCATGTGAATTGCATCCCCCTAATGAAGTGCGCCAAAAATTCCACTGGGTCACCTTGTCTGCCCAAATCGTGCCACTGCGCAAACATTGGTTGAAAGCAGGGAATAGTTGAAAGTTCAACTGGCCTGGAGTCATGATTCAGAAGCATTTGGGCAATCTCAGTGGCCTGTGGTCCCCACTGATCTAATGTAAAAGTGCGCATACTCAGATAGGCCCACAGCGTTGTCATGACCGCCGCATTCACAAAGCACCAGTTGGAGTCATTGGCAAGCTGAAGCGATGCAAGCCCTCGTAGAAGATCCTGTCTGCTGGGTGTAGGAGTGCCTGTAGGGGCTATGAGGTCTGAGTCTTCGACTTGCCCTGGTGTTTGCCGTGGTTCTTCCCTCCCCCCTTCCCCATGAGTGATTGTAGGTGCATCCCCTGCTTGCTCTGGTGCAACGTGTGAGGCTTCATCTACATGCCCAGGAGTCCCCATACTGTCGAACCTTGCAATGTCGACAACAGGACTTGTAGATCGTCCGCTCGCATGGATATTTGCCACATCCAGGGCACCACTTTCTCTGCTGAGAGCGGTCTCAGACTGTGGAATTTCACTGTGACCTGTGGGTCTTTCAGGATCTCCCTCAGTTGCTCGGCATACTTCACCATCCGTTGGATGGGGATGGGAGTCTGTGTGGTGCTCCTCAGTGCCTGCTGCGGTGCGTTCCAGCGCTGAAAGGGGAAGCCCCCTTCTGGTGTGAGCATCCCGTGCTCCAGCGCCGCCAGCTTCAATGGGTCCTTGTCGTTGTTGGTTGCCAGGCGTTGAAGGCGCTGTTGGAGGATCTCTGCCAGGTGCTGGGTGAGGACACACCTCAGCGGTGTCATTGGGATGTCCTGCATCGGCTCCTGTTTCACCTGTAGCTTCTGCTTCCATGTTGCCGCTGTCTGGATCAGTGAGGGTAGGATGGCCTGAGGCTCTGTTTGCATGAAGCAAATCCATGAGTCTTGCCTTTTCCATGCCTGCTGCTCTGCATCCAGTTTCAGGAGCAACTGTCCCATCGCCTGGAGGATGCTGGCGTCGGCGTTGTGCTCTGCCTTGTTGGGGTTGGCCTTCTTGGCTTTCTTGTGGCCTCTGTCGTCTTCTGGACGCTCGTATCGGTCCATCTTGAGAAGGGGCCCCATGAGCTTGAAGGTCTCCAGCATCTCCGAGTCCTCTGCCGTGTACTCCACGGTGGCGTCCATGATCTTGCAGAAGAAGAGCAAGTTGCAAGAGGACTGGGCACTGATGTTGCAGGTGAATTTGAGCCAGCAGAGATCTGTCGGCCCTCTCAGATTCTGTTTCTTGGCCTGTGGCTGGATAATTGTAGATCTGCAGGCACGCATCACACTGAAAGTCAGTAGTGTTGTCTCGACCAATGGGGTGTATCAGTGATGGCATCAGCATGTGATATCCCTTGGTATCTGAGGCATGAGCGCTGCACAGGTGGTCACGCAGTTCAGCTGGATGGCATTGAAGTGCACAGAGCAAGCATCTGGTGCGCAGAATGGAAATCATCCGTGGATCACTCCAAAGCTGTGTGAAATTGCGTTCAATCAAACAGTCTTCCAACACTGCAGCTGCTGGGTTCTGCTGAATGGCTTGCAAAAATTGACGAATGGTGACACGTTCAAATTCCCAAGGCAAGAACAGGGGCAAGGCCAGTCTCTGTACCATCATGCCGATCTGCCTGACAGAAACACATATATGTTGTAAACCGCTGGCATTTGTCATGGGATTGCAAAGACATCCAAACTTGCGGCTGGCTGCAAGCAGCAGCTGCACATGGGGTTGCGACTCTTTCCATAGCAAACTGTGTACGGTTTGAAGATGGAGTGACAAATCCCCTGTGCGTTTGAATGATGTATGGCAAAATTGGCAAGTCAGGGTCAGCGTCAAACGCTTCATGGGTGCCTGCCGCAGAGTGGCAATGGTGCCATGTTGGATGAGCTCCTGCCATTCTTGAGCAATCGGAAGCTCTGATGGCATGCGCAGCGGGTCAAAGCTTGGGCATTGTCCCAATGTGATGTGATGCCGGACTGAGGATTTTTCCGTGAAAATGGCCGCACAGTGTGCGCATGCTGGATTGTTGTCCAGCAAGTCTCTCAAGGGGTCCCAGTCCTGTGGTTCCAACCGATGTACAGTATGCAAATGTTCATGCACTTGCTGTAGCTCCTGAAAGGTGTCCCCACAAACATCGCATCTGAGCACGTCGGCACCTGGCTGTGCATAGGAGATGCCTGTGCTGTCTGTGTTCACCAGAATCAGCGCTGCTTGCGTCATGACTGGACATTGGTGCACTCTTCGAAAGCTTCGACTGCAAAAACTGCACGGTGAATTTGTGGCTTGAGACTTACACAACTGACTGGCCTTAGACATGACATGTGGCAACAGCTGTCGATGCTGCGTACGCAGATGCAAGTTGAGATCCTGTGGCCGATTGCTGAACAACCCACAAAGAATGCAATGGTTTGTCATATCTTTGGTAGCTTCTGGCAGGGACTGCAGATCTCGCCATCGACGGTGCCGTATGCATTCTAACACTGTAGCGCCAAAAGGTTTGGACAGTAGCAGGGTCAGGTGGGCCTCTGTCAGTTGCGGGTATTGACCTGGCTGAGCATCAGGGGTGGCCAGGCGCAAGCTCTGTGAGGCCAGTGGCCTGATGGGCTGTACCTGGCAGCAATTGCGTTCCAGGTGAATCCGGAAATTGCGCCATGTGGGAAATGTCTCATAACAATGTGAGCACTGTGGCAATCCTCTATGTGCATACGATGCAACCGTTATCACATATGTGCGAAACTGAGGTTTGTCATGCTCTTGAGTCATGTGTCGTCTCAAATTGGCAAGAGATGAGCTTCGAAAGGAGCAAAAGTCACAGTGAAATGGTTGGGCCAGCGCCTCATCATCAGGAATGGACATGTGCACCTGGCTTTGCTCTTGCCACGTGACGTGTACCAACTGCAGTAAGTGTTGCAGGTGTGTCCAATCCACCGTAGTGACTATATCATCTGATTGCACTGTCATGAGGCGTAGACCTAGTGTGCGACGTAGCTTGCAGCCGGCATGAAACAGCAACTCAAGCGGATGGTGTAGTCCATGATGTTGTAACACATTCAAATGAGTGTTGCCTGTTCTGAAGCTGTGATCTCCCAAAATTCTACGGTACATCTGAAAAATGCATTGTTGAATCTTGAGCAAATCTGCCAATGAAAAGCCTACTGCAAAGAGCCCGTAAACGAGTGTTGAAAAAATGCACGTTTGCCACATCTGCAATCGGGCACGCAGTGAGATTTGCCTGGCAGTGAGCCATCGTCTGAGGCGCGCAAAAGTGTGATTGGCAGCCTTGATGCGTGATTTGACTGTGTTTTGTTCAAACAAGTGATAGCTGACAATAATACCAAGATACTTGGCCTGGACATGTACTGGCAACTGAGACTGCGAACCATCTGCACGTGGAATGGTTATGTAGTACCCTTGGGGCCCCTTTTTGATGGTGTTTGCCAGGACCTTTCGACAGTTGGTGCCACTGATCTTTAAAATGGCATGAGATTTCTCAAGGGAAAGCTGGAGTCCTACCGTAGCCAACAAATCCAAAAGTATGCCTACTCTTGCTATGGCCTGTTTGAGTTGTTCAGCACTATAGAAGACCTCACAACTGTGTAGGTCATCCGCAAAAAGTGTCAAGCACCTTTTGACCCAATCGGCACTGAGCTGGTTGGACAGCTGGTATATCATGTCCAGTGTGTAACATGACCATAGCTGTGGAGCTGCACGACATCCTTGTCTAACCCCGCAGTCTGTGGGTACTGAATGGGGAGTGACGCCGTCCATCACAATGTAGGCTGTATCTCGATGCCATTCCTCCAGGATGGTTACGATTGCCTGGTTGATGTTCAACTGGCGCAAGAAGGCAAAGAGAGCTGGTCTCGGTACTAAGTCGAAGGCTTTGTTTGCGTCCAACAGGACCTGTAGGCCACCACATACAGGATAGCTGGGGACCGCTGCAGCTCGTTGGTGCACACTGCGCCGTTGCTGCTGGGTCAGCTGTCTGACTTGCTGGCAATGTTGAATGACCCTCCTGATGGCGTCATAGGTGGATCTTCTGCGCATGAATGCAAACTGTGGCCATGGACAAATCAAAGGCTGAACATCACTGGCAAATTTCTCTGTAACCAAACCGAGCACGCACTTGCCGACCGGCTCTAATAGAGCCAGAGGCCGAAGATGGTGAAGGCAGTCTGGAGTCTTATTGGGTTTGGGTATGAAGGTCAAATGTGCAGCTTTCCACTGGGAGGGTACAAAAATCGGTGTCTGCTCCCACCAGCTTTGTAATTTGGAGTGAAAAAAGTCTGCAACAATGTGTGCATTTGCCCTCCAGCATACCCCAGGGAGGCATGTGCGTGCTACTGACTTGGTGACTGGTGTTTTCAGCAGTTCTCGGATCAAGTCATCAACTGAAAAAGGGACTCCCACCTGCTGTGGCCCAGATTGAGGAAGGTCTTGTCCTCTGTACCAGATGCGCTGTATATATTCCGTCGTAAGTGTTAAGGTCTGTTCAGTGGTGGCTGGTGTGCCATCCGACATGCGCAATCTGATTCGTCTTTTGGGCTGCTTGGGGGTGTATTTCAAAACGGCCTGATATACTGCAAAGCTGTCATGTCGGCTGGCTGCGCAAGCAACTTCCGTCATCAAATCATGTTGCCGCAGTTTCTTGACTGTCTTACCATGTTGATGATGTTGTCGATTGAGACTGCGAAAACGACCGTAGTGAAACCAGGCCTGAAAAATGGTCCTCATGTCCGCATGTGTGAGTTGTTGCATCATCGAGCGGTGATGCCATTTGCTTCGGATGAGTTGATGGGATGCGCTGGAAAAACCTGATGCCACATTATAATGCTGTGAAACACCTCTGGCGGCTGGAAAGGCTCTGTGAAACACTGGTAAAAGCTGTTGATGCAATTCATCAATAAGGCTTTCGTCGCTGTGTTGTCTCGAAATGAATTCATGAAAATGCTGGGTGAAATCCTGGTGAAACTGTTGCCACATCTCACTGTTGTCCTGCCACTCTCTTCGGCATCGGAGTCTCTGCGGGAAGGTGCATTCCTGAGACTGGGCCTGCTTGGTATATTGAAAGGGAATTTTCCTGATGGAAGCTATCATTGGCAAGTGCCTGGCTCCTGTGGTGGGCAAAAAAACCTGCCTCTGGGAGAATTTTGACATCCTTGGCACAAGCGTCGACATCTGCCATGCGCATGATCATATGATCGATGTTGGAGACATTGCGGTCATGGACAAACGTTGGGGGATTTCTTGCATTCCAACTATTCAATGTTGTGAGGTTATAGCGCTTGAGAAAATCCATGAACCTATCAGTGTCCTTATGCGGGTGGCACTTCCTCACATTGGTGTCCCAGGTGCTAGTGGTGGTGCCCACATGTGGACTGTGTGGGATGGCATTGCAGTTAAAATCCCCAACAAACACTGCACAGTTGCGATTTGGAAGAGTTCCCGCCAACTTGTCAAGTGCAGTCCAAAAACACTGTCGCCTGTTGTCCTTGAAGTTGGCATGATTAGCCGTGTGTTGATAGCAACCTATCAGATCTAGAGCCCTTATGTTGTACTGGATGCGCAGGTGGCATAGTCTCCCTGGTATAACTGATGCAAAGCTAAGTTGGTGCATGGAACAATGACTGCGTCGGATCAAAAAAAGCAGGCCATCTGAGTAGTCATCCGACGTTCCACAATGCAAATGATACCAGTGCTGATCTGTCCACTCTGACGAGAAACACCACCTTGTTTCAGAAAGTACCAGTGCATCAATGGCTACGTCAGTTGCCCAAAGTTTTATCTCTTGCAATCGAGTGGCTGAGAGTCCGCCCACGTTCACATGACCAATCTGCAAGCGTGACTTTGGTGCAAATGAGGGCTTAGCATCACGGTGGTGAGAGTTGGGTCGATTGACCCTGATGGCTCCCTGTTGCAAGCCTCTGGAAAATTGATCTGGTGTCAGACATTTGCCTCTGTACCAAGCGCAGCCTGATTGAACAGCTCGTCGGAAAGCTCTTTTGTAGCTGCGCTTTTGTATACTGCCAAGAGATCGCATAGTGAAGAAGCCCTCCTCCGGACCGAAGTCTCTCTGCGGTGCACTGTCATGTATTTTCGCTGCAAAAAGAGCAGTCAAATCAGCAGCCGAAAACTCGGCTTCAGCTTCCACCCCAGTCCATGACTGACTGGAGTAACCCTCACCCCCGCTCTGCAATGGCGTACTTGCATGGTTTGTCATCAATGATAAAAGGATCCAAAAGAAGATCCTGGTCTGAGCTACACTGCAACGTCGCTTCTCAGTGGCAGAGCGCCCGGACTTGGGACCGGGTTTGCCCTCAAGGGTGAAATCTGTGTGCGTCGCAGTTTCTGTCGACACGGATTGAGTGTGCCAGTCTTGTATATTGGAAAATGCAAGAATCTGTCTCGTCACAAGCCGCTGCAACCAAAATTGAAAATGAAATGTAAAATTGTTGGGGAGCCACCCACCAGAAAAGGCCAGTATAGAAATTGCAAACAGAAAGACTCCAGTGGCAAGCAATGCAATTTGTGTTGAATGGTCTGATTGTTGCCCAATCTGAGATAGAACAAGGGCCTGTGCCACCTGATGGATCTTTGTCAGTCCAAAATGTTGAATGTGCAGCAAAAAAAGAATGGGAAAAAGTCTCAAACAGCAATGAAGTGTAGACCTGGTCCAGTTTGTGCTCATGTGCAATGCAGCCGCTGTGATCTGAAGAGCAGTGAAGAAAGCGGTCAATGGCGAGTCACAGCAGGGACGCAACGGGTCACGAGACTCTCTAGGGGCACCGTTCACCTATCGTGAACATTTGAGCGCCACTCTCGAGGGGAAAACGGGCCGTGAGTGTGTGTTGTGGTGTGTTGTGTGTGGGTGGTGTGTGTGTGTGTGTGTGTGCGTGTGTGTGTGTGTGTGGTGTGTGTGTTGTGTGTGTGTCGTGTGTGTGTGTGGTGTGTGTGTGTGTGTGTGTGTGTGTGTGTGTGTTTGTGTGTGTGTGTGTGTGGTGTGTGTGTGTGTGGTGTCCCGTGTGTGTGTGTGTGTGTGTGTGGTGTGTGTGTGTATACCATCTGAACAGATGTAAAACTTCTTATTGGTTTTCACTACTTTGCAGGGGGACTGGAGCCGATTTGCCTATCCAGTCCAACGAAGCTATGGCATTTCGGTGGATGAGTGGTCTGATCAACCACTTGTACCTGCAAAACTCAGTTTGAACTGTTGACCAAGCTGTTACACTGCGTTGTTTCGAATCTACACGGTTGCCACAATTTGTATTGCCTGCATCATAACCTTCCTCAGTTTTTCGCCATCTGCATGTTTCAGGATTCAGTTCCTGCCGGATCATATAATGATCCATTCTTGTCTAGTGTGATTTCCATGGTGGCTCCGACATGGTGCCATGGAGCCATTTGAGGCAACCCTCTTCAGGGTGAGTGTCGACAGTCTTGAATTCTGAATTCACACATTTTAACTTAGTAATTCGTTTAAGTAAAGGGCAACAATCAGCCTTGCGGTTTGTCAGCCATTTTGAGATCTCCTGCTGCTCCGGATGTCCCAGGGCTCCCAGTGATCTGCTCTTTCAAGTGAAGCTGCTTCGAACCACCAGAAACTTCCTTTTATCACTGCAGCTTGCGCATTTGAAGTTCAACATGACATTCACGACAAAAGGCAACAGGCATGTCCTTTTCCTGCAGGTGTGGTCTCTTTGGTATTTGGTGAGGTGAAACATATTGTGCATCTAATTCGTTGGAACTTGGAAGCTGTTTTATGCCATTGCGGCACGACTTGACCACGGTCCCGGTGCAGGGAATAATCGCACGACCTTTAGGCATTTAGGGACTGAATCCTGTTTTTAATTAATTGTTTTGGTTTTCCTGTCTGTCATCAACTAGTCCCCCATTTGGTCCCTAATTCTCCCCGCGTGCCTCTCCGTAACGTGTTGTTGGGTTTAGGTGTGTGCGCTGTTTTTGTCAGGTCCGTTTCGCCGTGTAGGTTGGTTCTGGAGGTCCGTCTGTTCCCCTCCCCCCCCTGCGCTGTTTTTTGGCCGTTTGCCCGTCGTGTGTCCGCTTTTTTCTTCCTCTTGCCTTTCAGGGTTGACCCGGCTCCGGCCAGGTGTGTGTGTGTAACATCTGAATAGATGTAAAACTTCTTCTCTCTCTTTCTTCCTTTGTCCTCTCCCTTTCTTAATCTAAATTTAATGCAGGGGGACTGGAGCCGATTTGCCTATCCAGTCCAACGAAGCTATGGCATTTCGGTGGATGAGTGGTCTGATCAACCACTTGTACCTGCAAAACTCATTTGAACTGTTGACCAAGCTGTTACACTGCGTTGTTTCGAATCTACACGGTTGCCACAATTTGTATTGCCTGCATCATAACCTTCCTCAGTTTTTCGCCATCTGCATGTTTCAGGATTCAGTTCCTGCCGGATCATATAATGATCCATTCTTGTCTAGTGTGTGTGTGTTTGTTTTTTTCCCACACTCCTTTTTGCTTCTGCTCAAAGGTTTATGCCAGCCTTTCAACGATTGCTTCTGTCGTTGGTTCCTGATTAGGAAGCTTGCGGCCAAATGAAACTGCTGAAGGAAGTGGTGAAAAGAATGGAGAAAATAAATGATTGGAAAAATGTTGATCCTGAGCTGTCCTCAGCTGATGTCGACGCCTTCAAAATGGTCTATTCTTCTGTCTGGCTGTGCTCAATCCCTGGTTGCGCATTGAGGAGGTGCAGAAGAGCTGATTCCTGTGAGTTGTCATCCCTGCATGGGCTAGCTGGCTGAATGGCAACAGGAGGCTGGTATGCAGGCAGCTGCAAGCAATCAGATCTCACCATCCAGAGGACACACACTGATTGTTCAAACCATGCTGGTACATTCCAAATGGGCAAAGGGGCCTGAGCATCATCCGTCAAGAGCCAAGAAGCAGGCTGTGCCATCGTGACCAAGCTCGGTTGAATCTTCAAAAGCGCTCGACAGTGTCCTGCCCTGTCCTGTCCACAATGTGCTGTGCCTGCAACTACGATGTAATCAGCCTGTTCACAGGTCAAATGTGTTCCAGTGAAGATTGGCCAAGTCACCGCTGAGTCCAGAGCAACAGTACACATACTTCGCACTACCTCGCCCTCAGCAGTTTGATGATGTCGGTCAATGCTCACGCAAATGCATGGGGCCGCAGTCAGCAATGCCGTACACATAGATTGCTCCTGGGACCAGACACGAACAAGTTCAGTCAAGGTGCAATGTCCAATGTGATGTATGTCATGAGGAATGTGCAGCAAGATTGGTGCATGCTCACTGTTGTGATCACAGACTTGAAATCCATCTGCAAGCTCAACCCGTCTTTCCCAGCGCATGTTGAAAGCTGGTGAACTCAGCCATGCCAGCAGGTGTGTCGTGCATTCAGCACTGTCTTGCTGGCTCTGAGAATTGCCCCAGTCACGCAACACTACCTGAAACCAGCTTTCATTGCATAACGTTGCCATGGTGGAGGCATGCCTACAAATAAAGCTAATCAAGGTCTCTTGTCGCGGGCCCAAAACGAAAGATCTTCCCCTGAGAGACAAAGCAGCGTCCACAGTGCATTGTAGACCGTGCTGTTCCCATAGCACCAATTGCGGTCATTGGTGAAACTCAGACCGCACAGAGCTGCCTTCAGCTCCATCATCTTGTTAGATGGCAGGGCTCTCACTTGGTTGGCTGACGTCCCTTCCCTTTGCCTTTCCCTTTGGCCTTGTGCAGCATGGACTGAAGTGTGGTTGCCAGCGGTGTTTGGCCCTGAGTGTGCGGTTTCATCGAGGCTCCAACTGTCATCCATATGGCACTGTGTGCCAGTTGGAAAAGCAGCTCGTAGGGTCTGTCGCTGCGCATGTTGATCTGCAGTCTCCAAGGGATAATCTGGTTGTTTTGGTCCTGGACCGGCCTCAGTGCATGAAATCGGACTATGAGCTCCTTGTCGATGAGCATGTCCAATAGCTCGTCCAGATGCTGTTTCATCTTTTGAGCGCTGATAGGCTGCTTCTTGTCTAGGACCAACTTCTGTGACGCACTGTCCCATCTGTGAAATGGAAAACTGCGATCTGCCAAGATCACCCCTTTCTGCAGTGATGTGGTGTACAAGACATCTGTCTCCTTGCTCTCCACGATCTTGCCCGCCCTGGACTGGAGCAGGTTGATCAGCGTTGTCATGAGATGCTGCCGTAGTGGCATCCTCGTCGAGGCTGATGCATCGTCCATCTTCTTCTTCCACTGTGCTGACTCCTGGAGCAGCACGTGAAGGGCTCCTGAAGGTTCGGGGTTCAAAAAAAGAATGAATTGATCCATCCTTCTCAGACTTTGGAGTTCTTGATCGTGCTTGACCAGAAGTTGAGTCATGAGGGCTAGCATCTGCATGGCTGGCGCCCCTGGACCTCCCTGGGTGTCCACGGCTGGTGTTGAACCTTGTTTTCCTTGGTCTTCCCGCCGTCTTGCTTTGGTGGCCCTGGGGTTGGGAGGCAGCTGCAGAGTCTCGTCCTTGACCTGAAACAATGGGGCCAGCTGCTGAAACGCTTCCATCATCTGCTGTTGTGCATCCATCTCTGCCGCCTCCATGTTGCAATTGTCCGCCATGGAGCAGGGACCCAAACAGCAAGGCCACTTGGATCAGGCTTGGGCACGATCCACGCAAGTGAGATAGAGCCAGAATGACTCTGTCAGCCGCTGGCTCTTCAGGATTCATGTGTGGCGGCAAGTTGTAAATCAATTGGCACAAATGACATTGATATCCATCAGGATTCTTGGCATGCATGGTGGGCAGCAGTTGTTCCATGTAAAACAGAAACATCTCATGGCCGCATGGGTGCTCCTCTCTCAAGTGAAGGGCCAGATCTGACGTGGCCATTTCAGTGCTACAGAAGAGGCATTGGCGGCGCAAGAGGTGCAAGATGTCGTCATCCTGCCAAACATCTGCAAAGCGGCGATGAACCAAGGCTTGTTCAAGCTTATACCGGTCTGCTCTTTGCAACCTGTTGGTGAGGACATGTTGGAGCACCTGTTCTGTGATGAGCATGGGTGCAAAGGGTTCATGGCCAAGTCGATGAAAGCTCATAGCCAGCTGCCTGAGCGGCAAGCAAATGTGTCCAATGCGCTTGGTCCCCACACTGGGGTTGCAGTAGCATTGCTGTTGATACAGTGCTGCCACCAAAATCTGTGTCAATCTTTTTGACAAGCGCCACAGCCTGGCATGTGAGGATTGAAGGTGTAGAGCAAGGTCTGATGATCGCCGACAGCCTTTGCCACATGCCTGACACACAATCGTCAGACGCATGCGATTTTGTGGTGACTGCAAAATTTCCATCAGTTTGCCATCCAGGCAGGCCTGTCGCCAAAGATCATCCACAGGCAATGTCTCAGGACAAGCCTGAGGATTGAAATGTTGACACCGTCCCTGCACTATGTGGGACTTCAATCCCTGCATTGTCTGAAACAAACATCCACAGTGTGAGCATGCCGTCGAGTGATCCAAAGCATCTCTGCTTTCATTGAAGCTAAGTCCATGGAGGCTATGTTGCGCCTGGAGATGTTGAACCAGGTCTGCCGTCGTTGGGAACCAAGCCAAGCACAGTTCACAGCGATGTCGAACCTCAGCCATGGGTTCTGCTTCAATAGAGTCCAGCCCAGCTCCATTCACCAACAAGACAGATATCTGAGACCATGTGGGGCAGGAGTGAGTCTTGAAGAGCGCACCGCAATGTTCACATGGAGCCTCTGCACTGAATAAGTTGGTCAGCTGAATGGCTTTCTGAGGAGCGTGCTCCCAGAGCGCCGGGTGCTGAAGACGGTAGTGTTGGTGAAGCTCTTGACATCGCTGAAACTGAAAGGAGCAGATAATACATCGTGAAGACAAATACTGACATGCCTCTCGATCAGCAGCAAGGCTTTCCCAATTGCGCTCAGCCACCAAGTTCAGCAATCGATGTCCAAAGACCTGCTGTTTCAAATTCATCATCTCATCTGGTGTGATCAGTCTAATGCCTCTGGCAGCAACGTCAGCCGCATGTGCCAGCATTGGATTGAGTGTGCTCAGTCTTGCACCTGATGCACCTGTGTTGCCAGCTTGCGGTGAAGGACCAGGAAAAAGAGCCTGACAACCACGTTCAATATGACAATGAAACATGCGCCATGTTGTGAAGGTGGTTCCACAATACCTACAAGTGGGCAATCCATCTGCTGCATATTCGGCTGGGTCAACATAATGTGTCCTATGCATCGTGTTCCCATGTACCGTAGTGCAATGTCGTCTGAACGCACTGACAGCACTGGTACAAAAATCACATTCTGCACATTGAAAAAAAGGAGTTGCAAACGCCTCGACGTCAAGAGGCAAGGATGTCTCCAAGGATCCAGCGGCCTGCCAATGTTCCAAAAGGTTCAGCAGGTCTGGTAAATGAGGCCAACTGATTGTGTGTGCCAAGTCATGTGTTGGAATGACATCACTGCGTTCTTGGTGTGTCCACAGCAGTCCAGCAGCTGTGCCATGCAGCAATTGCGCCGGATTGGGGAGTTGATGCTTGAAAAAAAATTCCTGGTTGCTGCGTCTTGTCAAATATGAATGATCTCTCGTGAGCTTTCTCATCATGATGGTCATCTGTGTAATGGCTTTGTGGATGCCCTGCTTGCTCAGTCCCATTGCAAAAATGCCATAACTCAGGATAGGATAGATGCACGTGCGCCACAGTTGAAAACGTTGTGCAACACTCAACCCATGTTTGCCAGTGAGCCACCGCTGCAAGCGTTTGAATCCAACGTGCATGAGACTCAATCTGTGCTTCAGGCTGGCATCTTCAAAATTTTGATACGAAATGATCACTCCCAAGTATTTGGTCTCCTTCTGTATGGGAATAAGCACCGCTGCTTGCCCTTGCATTTGTATTTTCAAGCGTTCTCCATGCTGATCGCGTTGGACATATTGTCTACGAATCTTGGCACTGGAGGAGCCTCTCATTTCCAAGATGGCCACTGATTTGTCCGGGTTCACGGTCATGTCAAGAGAGATCAAAACTTGAAACATGATGCCAACAGCATGGTGTAAATGACAGAATTCTTCAATCGTAGTAAAGGAAGCCCCAAAATGACAATCGTCAGCGTACAGCGTCAAATGCCGTTGAATCCAAGACAAGGGAAGAAATTCCATCAAATCATGCATGTAAATCACCATGAAGCAGTTCCAGAGGCCAGGCGCGGCCTTACAGCCTTGCCTTACGCCTTTTCCAATCTGAATAAGGCTATCAATGTCGCCATTCTGTACCAAGTAAGCAGTATTTTCATGCCATGCAGCCAGTAATTGAATAAGTGGGGTGCTAATCTTAAGACAATGAAGCCTTGCAAATAATTTGCGACGATTCACACTGTCAAAAGCCCGTTGCAAATCCAGACAAATCTGTAATCCCCCATATAAACAATATTTGGCCACCTTGACAGCACGTGAGTGGGGTGTGACCCTTTGCATGGAAATCAAATTCCTCACAAAATGACAGTGTTGACTGACTCTTCGAATTGCATCCAATGTGGATCGTCTGGCCATGTAGGCCCAAATTGGAAATAGCACCATGCAATCATTTGCCTCCTGCATTGCCAGGTGAATGATGAGCCCTATAATCGCCTTACCTACCGGTTCTTGCAGCGCCAGAGGGCGCAAATGTTGCGGCTTCACTGGCTGCTTGGATGGTTTTGGAATCATGAATAGCCATCCATTTTTCCATGAAGTAGGTGTTTGGGGAGGATTACATGCCCACCATTCATTAAGTTTGGCAAAAATCAAAGGCGCAAGAAATGATGCATGTTGACGCCAGACCACCCCTGGAGTAAATGGTTTGGCGCAGGCTTTGGTTCCAGGTATGGATGCAAGTGCATGTGCAAGCTGTTCTACCGTAAAAGGCACGCCAGGGGCTTCAGAAAAAGTCATATCTAGGCTGGAAGGTCCTGCCCAGACATCTTGCACAAACTGATTCATGATTGCAGCACTCTCAACCGGACTTGCAAGAAGTCCATCATGATTCCGCAGTTGGATTTGTCTCCGTGGCTGTTTGGGAGCAACTTTATTGATAATGGAAAACAGTTGATGTGTGTCATGTTTCTCAGCTGCAATAGCAGCGGTGTGAACCATTTCCTCAAATTGTTGTTGCCTGATCTGCTTGGCCTGTTTCCGATGCAAACGTTTTAACCTACTGAATTTCATGACATGAAACCAGCACTGAAAAATATTTTGCTTGGTACCTAGACCAGGCCTGAGCATCCTGCGGCGATGTTCCCATTTGTTCAGAATGGTGGGCAACGCAGATTGCCACGTCGTTGGGCCCCGTTGCCGCTGTCCTGAAGGGAAAAACCATTGAAAGGTCTCCATGACATCCACATGCATCTGGTCAATGAGGGTGTCAGCATCTGGTGCAGGTTCTGCAAACAAGTGCGCAAGCTGCTGTTCAGTTTGCGTCGTAAACTGTTGCCATAATTCTGTTTGCTCCAAAAACGCCTGTCTGCTGTTGCGTCGCTGTAGCAATGTGACCCTCTGAATCTTGTCATGCGCAAATGCAGGAATCCAGTATTTGGCAATAGTGCAGAGAATGGGCACATGTCCTACTTTGTTCTGCAACAAGAAGGGAGAGTCCCAGAGATATTGTACTTTGCGCGCAGCTCCATCTGCCAGCATCTGTCGTACACAGACATAATCAATCCTACTTGCACAATGTTCATGTATGAACGTCGGACCTAATTGAGATGACCATGAATTTAAAACCACCAGAGAAAAACGTCTCAGGAGTTGTAAGAACTTGGTTTGATCACTGTGTTCAGGTCCAGTGTGCGCCTGGCCTCGCCAGGTGAAGGTTGATGTGCCCGTGTGAGGTGGTGATGCATGAAGTGAACAGTTGAAATCTCCAGCCAAAACCAAATTGTGTCGATTTGGAATGCCAGTCAAAACCTGTTCCAATGTTTCCCACCATTGTTGCCTAGCCTGAAGCCTGTTTTTGTCGCGGTTGAAAACATGTTGATAGCATGCAACCAAGTCCAAAGGTCTGGTAGCCCCAGTCAGTCTAACATGTACAAGTCTTCCACTTTCATGAAACTGCCATGCAATGTCTGCCGCTTTGGAGAGTCGTGTCGAAATCAAAACCATGATCCCTTTCCCCCGATGGGGTCCTTCTCCTGAATGCAAGATGTGCCAGTGTTGATCACTCCATTGTGCATCAAAGGTCATTCTTGTTTCAACCAATATCGCCAGGTCGACGTGGTTCAAAACCAACCAAGCTTTGACCTCGTCCAGTCTACTGGAAGAGATGCCCCCACAGTTCCACTGCCAGATGTTCAGACGCTTCTTGTTCGAGTGAAGGTCATTGCATCTTGTCCAGTCTTTCCTCAAATTAGGAGAGAGTGAAGCTGTCACCGCAGGGAGGTCTGATTGACATCCCATTCTCTCAAAATCACTCGGACTGTATGGCTTCCCTTTGTACCAGGCAATCCCCTGATGTTGTGATCTCCTGTAGGCACGTTTCAAACTCCGTTTCTCCACTTTCGTTCTTTGGGATGGTGCAGTTTCTGGCCAATTTGTCGTGCCGTGGCACATCTGTGGCTGCATGCCATGTAGCTTTGCTCTTTGGGGAGTAAGCTCTGGAGATTCAAACTGAGCTCCAGTGACCCCCATGGCTGAGTCACAACCCTCGCCCTTCCAGTGCCACATATTGTAGAAAAAGAAGAGGAAAAGGTACAAGAAACCAAGGTATCTTGTCCAAGTCCTTACCGTAGCACCGTGTCTGGATTTGGGACCAGACCTGCCACCGTGTATCAATGATCTCACTGAGCCCTGTCGAACGCCCCAATTTTTGCGCCAATGAAATAAATTGCAAATCCGGTTTCGAAAAGATGTAAAACACTGTCCAAAGTACTCAAGGGCCAAGAAAGCCAGCAGGAGTAAACCACCAAATGCAAAAAAGAACTTGTACAGTGTGATCAAAGTTGGTTGCCTCTGACTTATAGTGCCTAAATGAATGTCCTGTGTTCCGCAGTGTTGCCAATGAGGAGAGATCTTCCTCCAGAGCCAGTGAAAACGTGGAGAGACCAGCCAATGTAAGGAATTCGACCCCCAAGGCAACCAATGAAATATCTTCCAGTGAACAAAAGCCCCAATCAAAATGATGTAGATCTTCAGTAATGAATGTGATCGTTCCTCCCACTGGCCAGGCAGTAAGTAACAGGAGCCAACCCTGCAGTGTGTGGGGGAAGTCTCACCTAGCAATAAACCGTACAACAATGAGCACAAATTGCTGATTGATCTCCCCAAAACGGAATAAAACTGCGTGAGCAAGCCAATCCAGGAGGTCGTCAATAGAATCCAAGCACTTGTGCCACTGGGACTGTCAGCTAGGGAGCCCACCCCTTTAGAATTCCTGGACAGGCCAGTCAGATGTTGCCAGGAGCCAACCCTGCAGTGTGTCCAGAAACTCTGTTCAAGTCTGAAATTATGAGCAAATAAATTGTTGCAAACGGCTGACCACTGATGAGAATATATGCTGAGACAATACACCAGCAGGCCAGTCAGTGTAAATCCGGAGCCAGTCCCGCAGAGCGCTGGTGTATGTCCAGTGAAATCAAAATTAAGCCACCTGGATCCCTCAATCTTGTTCAACTGTTGTGTCTTCCAAAAAACGATGGGTTCACTTCCACAATCTTGGGGAGAATTTGCAATGTCTGCTTTTCGGGAGTCTGCGTTGGCAAGTGAAGAAATCAAATTGCTCACCTTCGTACCAAAATGTTCCCAATCAAACAGGGATATACAAGCTAGCCCCGCGTTGTGCCACACTGACAGGCCAGACAGTTGCCAGGAGCCCACCCTGCAGTACGTCAGTGTGGTTTGCACAGTAGTCCTCAACAACGGGACAGCAGTCTCCTGAAAAGCGCTAGAAATACAAGTCGCAGCTGTGGTTGGTTTCGCTGTGAAAAGGGACTCACTCAGCAGGCCAGTCAGTTGAGATTCGGAGCCAATCCCGCACTGTGCTGGTGAGCCCTGTGTCAGCAATCTCAAATTCCCAGCGGCGCCAAAATCAGTCAATCGCAAAAACCCTCCCAGATGAAAAACAAGCAAAAGATATGTCAATGTGATCCGATGTTGAAGCGACGTGATGGTCAGAGAGGCAGGCTGCCAATGGAAGATCGCAAAGCCAACTGAAAATCGAAGAAAATGTTCTCAATCCAAGTCAGTGCAAAGGCAACGAAACAGGCAATGGCGCAAAGTCAAATCGAACCAGTCCAGCGGGGGGCAACAAAGTTCTCGTGAGAACACTTGAGAGCCACACGGGGGTGGCAAAGGGCTTGTGTGTGTGTGTGTGTGTGTGTGTGTGTGTGTGTGTGTGTGTTTGGGGTGGTGGTGGTGATGTGTGTGGTGTGTGTGTGTGTGTGTGTGTGTGTGGTGTGTGTGTGTGTGTGTGTGTTGTGTGTGTGTGTGTGTTCTTTAACTAACACACCTTTTCTGTTGCAATCCAAAGGTTTGGGGTCGACCAGCGCTGCCATTGCAGCGGTTCCATTTGGGAATCTGTCTGGCCACCCTGCCGCTCTGATGTACAGTTGCCGCTCAGTTGAAGAAATGATGGAAAAAGTCACTCATCCAAATTGGACTATGGGAGAAAATGTCAAAATGGTAGCTCAGGTCGAGCCGTGGCATTTGGTCTTGGAAATTTCAGGCATCACTGCTTTCCTTCGTCAAGGCTGTTTGCTGCATTGAGATGGGGCGGAAGCGCCAAATGTGGGCACAATCGACACGCACCAGCCAGAACATCGTGGCACATCGTTTCATCCATGGTGGCACATTCCAGACTGGCTGTGGTAACTGCCAGTCATCAGTCAAAAGCCAATTCGCCGGTTGTGCCAGATGCAAAACTGTTGGTGCAATGCGCAGGGCAGTGCGATAATGTCCCTGTCCATCAGCGCCGAAATGCGCCGTGAGCGCCATCACTTGATATTCCACCATTTCAAATCGCAATGAGTCATCTGTAAAAACAGGCACCAAGCAAGGCTCATCAACATGAATCATGCAGTCACTTTTGTAAATGGTCTGATTGGCATCTTGTGTGCAGCGGTCCACGTGCAGGCATAAACATTGAGGTGCATGCAAGAGGGCAGCGCACATGCCATCCACCTGTCGCCACAAACGCAGCAACTGCGTAAGATCACATGTCATGAAATTGGCAAGGAAACTGTTGAACTTCAAGCTCAAGGGTGTATGACAATGGCTATTATCAAATGCTCGGGTCATGTCATTTTCTTCCATTCTGCGTTCCCAACTCATGTCAAACGCTGGAGTCTGCATCAGCCCCAGCCAGGTGCTGACAAATTCAGCTGCATCCTGTTGTTCAACATTCACAGGATCAAATAAGAGATCCCGTTCACCCCAACAACGCAAGATCTGCTGCAACCAGGGTTCTTCAAGCAAATTGGATCGTGATTTTGAAAACAGAAACTGGTGCAGATCTCTGCTTTGTGTGCCCCAAAGCGCTGGATGCCATGGTTGAACCGTCAAGGTGGTCCACAGCAAGGAGTATACGGCTGAGTTTGCAAAACAAATATTCCCCGGATTTTCCAGTAGCAGGTGAGACAGCCGCTGGAGCATGATCTGGTGATCAGGTTGCTGGCCAGAATCTGCATTCACTCCTGTTTCATCTCGGGAGTCATTTTGTTCTTGCCTTTCCCCTTGCCCTTGGTCGACGGTGTCAGATTCAGGGCTTTCTGCAAGTTGTGGGCTGCTGGGCTCTGCACAAGGCTGTGTGCCTTCAGAGTTGCTCCCATGAGGAGCCATATGCCCGAGTTGCAGAGGGTTTGCAGCAGGCGCCAGGGCTCGTCCATCCTCATGCTGAGCTGCAATTTCCATGGGGAGACTTCCTGTTTGCTCCCCGAAGGCAACGCATGAAACTTCACCACCAAGGCCGGGTTGGCCAGGGCTTCCAGGAGTTCGCTGCACAGCTGATGCAGGTGCTTCAGCGTGAGTGGCGGTCTGTTGCTGACCGTCAAGGCTTTCTTGCTGGGACTCCATTCCAGATACGGGCAAGTCTTGTCCTTCAGCAGCACAAGGTTCTGCTGCGCCGCTTTCAAGATTTCGGCCCCCTCCGGCGCATTCCCCAACTGTTCGATCCTCGTGAGCAGGTTGTTGAAAAGGACCTGCATCAGGTGCTGTCTCAACGGCATGCTCTGCAGTGGTGGATCCGCCTTCTGGTTCTCTGCGTGCTTCTGGGCCCATTGCTCCGTCGTTTCTATCAAGGTGTGCAGACAGCTCTCTTTGCCTTTGTTGGCGAAAAAGAAAATGTAGGTGTCCTCTTTCTTCATAGTTTGGATCTCTTTGTCCAATTTGATGGCCAAGGTTGCCAGCATGGTCATTGCCTTGACTAGATGGATCTTGTCCTTGTTGTCTGTGGCAGGGTTGCCCTTTCTGGGTTCGCCTTTTCTTTGCCGCTTTGGGTTGGCATTCTGGGTCAGCTTCAGGCTGGTGTCCAGCCATGGTGAGAGGTCCTGGAAGGCGTTCCAGATCTGGTTGGACACCTCGTCCACGTCTGACATTGGTGAGTCTGCCATGGGCTGCTCGGCTCAGGACTACCGCTGCTTGCAAGATGCTGGGGCACTGGGCTCTGTAATGCACTTGAACCACCTGTTGGCGCACATCATCACAAGTGGCTGCTGCATCCTCCAGTTTATGATTAAAGACCTGTGTGCATGCAAAACATTGATGGTCAGTGTCATTGCGCTGGAGAAAATGTGGCAATAGCTGCTGCAGGATGAATTTCACCAGTGGCAGTCCACCCTGATGCGCCTCATGCAGATGCATCGTGAGTGCTCCCGCATGATTCTTCTCACCACAAAAGAGGCATTGAGACCTAGTCACTTCAAGGACATTGGCATCTTGCCAAAAGGCTGGCAACTGTCTATTTGTGAGCAGCTGTTCAAAAAGAAATCGTGTAGCACGATCCAATTTGGGGGAGAACATCTGGGCCAGCTCTTCATCTGTGGGAGTGATTGGGTAGAAGATGGCATCGGGAATTCTCATGTGCTGCATTGCTAGCTGGGTCAGGGTCAAACACACATGGTTGGCACGGGGATTGCTCACACTGGGGTTGCAGGTGCAACCAACATCGCTGTAGACCAAAGAAACTAACAAATGGCAAAGTCTCTGGGAGGCCGACCACAGACTGGAGTGCGCAGACTGTAAGTGACCTGAGAGGTCATTGGCACGATGATAACGGCTGCTGCAACTCTGACATTGGATTGTCAGTTGGAGTCTGGTGTGGGCGTCACACAGTGTTTTGGCAAGTTCTCCATGACATGTGGCTGCAATCCATGAATCTTGAACGTCAAGCACTTCGGTTGGTAAATCTGGGTCAAATCTTGGGCACCTGCCCTGGTTCACGTGACTGCGCAGGGACTCTAAGTGCTCAAATAGAGCTCCGCAGTGGGCGCAAGCGGGTTCTCCCGCTACACTGTCTCTGGCTGGGTTGTAGCTGGTGCTCACCAACCGATGGTCCAGGGTCAGGTGTGCATGGAGGGCTTCTGCTGTGTCATGGACTTGGTTGCAGAGTTCACATTTCAAAACATTGGGTGGTCCCAGGGAGTCTTGGTCGAAACTGCTGCCTCCGTGTACCAACAACATCGCCAGCTGCGTCCACACCGTGCATTGGTGCATGTTGGTGAACAATGCATTGCAGTATGGGCAAGGCGTCTCGTCGCCGTGCATGGCCGTAAGCTGCTTGCCTTTGGCCGCTGTATGTGGCCAATATTCCGGGTGGAGCAGCTTGAGATGATGATTGAGGTCTTGTGTACGGCCAAGGAATTGGTCGCACAAACAGCACCTGGAAGCCAAGTACTCACATGCTGCTTTTTCCCCTCTCATGTGATGCCAGTTCCTTGTACCAACAATGGTGAGGATCCTGTTTCCCCATTCTTGGCTCTTGAGATTCTGAAGGTCTGCGTCGGTGATCAGCTGTTGTCCTCGGACAGGGGCCTCTGGTCTGGGTGCAAGCATGGTAACAAGGCCACCGTGTGCTTCAGCAATGTGACCAGCAGCAGGTTGCCAACACTCAAGAGGGCCAGCTTGCAGAACCTGGCATCCACATTGGATATGGTGCACAAAGGTTCGCCATGTCGTGAATGTGCGATAACAGAATCTACATTGTGGTAACCCATGGAGCATGTATTGAGCAGGGTTTGATGTAAACATCCTATTCATTCGATGTCCATGGATTTGCGTGCAATGGCGTCTGAAAATGGCAACGCTGGGTGTTTGAAAATCGCACTTGTTGCAACAGTAAAGTTGCGCAGGCAGCGCGTCTGGTTCAGCTCGTGGCAGGTGAGACTCCACAGGGCCTGTGTGCAGCTGTGCCATCAGGAATGCTTTCAAATTGGAGAGATGGGTCCAATCAAGCCAATTTACAACATCGTGCACGGCAGTGTACAAGAGGCGTTGAGTGACAGACTGTTGCAGGCTGTCGATGGTTTTCACAATCCAAATCAGCGGCAACTCTACCCTGTGCTTGGCAAGTACTTGTTGATGGCTTTGACCAGTAACATATGCATGGTTATCCAGAATTTGTCTAAGCATGCTGTACATGGTCTGCTGCAATTTGGTGGCACCAAGGGAGGTGATTCCTACCGTGCAAATGCCATAGCTAAGGACAGGATAAACGCAGGTGGACCATATCCGAAGTCTTTGCCATGTTGGCATGCCACGCTTGCCCTTAAGCCAGCGGCTCAGGCGATGGAAGGCAATCTTCGACAGCTGGATTCTGTGCAAAACTGTTTGGTCTTCAAGCTGTTTGTAACTCATCACAGTGCCTAGATACTTGGCATGAGTTGCAACCGGCAGCCAAATGGTCGGTTTATGGGCTTGTTCAAGTTTCAGCCATTCTTTTCCATCACGAAACGTGGTCAATGCAGTGCGGAGCTTTCGGCAGGATGTGCCAGTCATGGCAACAAGAGCCGTGCATTTGGCTGAGTTGATCGTCATCCCAAACTCATTCAGCAAATCCAGAGTGGCATAAATATTGGTCAGGAGATCATGGAGTGCAGTCTCTGATCTAAACGAGTCCCCCATCTGTCCATCGTCTGCATAAAAATTGAGGCATCTCAGTATCCAACTGTGGGAGACACGTTCTTTCAACTCAGCAAGAAACGCAAGAAGATAACCATTCCATAACAGCGGCGCAGCTTTACATCCTTGCCGCAAGCCACGCCCAACCTTGATGTATCTTTCTGTTCCTTGCGTATAGAGGTTGTAGCCCGTGTCTTGGTGCCACATGTTGAGGAGATATGCTATTTGTGGGGGCATCCCAAGTGATTCCAACTTGCTGAAAAGTTGAGCCCTGTTTACCATGTCAAAGGCCCGTTCAATATCTAGGAAGATGCAAATGCCACCTGCCACGCGATATTTCTGGGCTTTTTGTTCCCGCGTGAACGGGGTTGATCGTTGCGTGGCCAGCAGCGTGCGCACTTCAGTGCAATGTCTGGTGACCCTCAGCAGCGCATCCTGTGTCGATCTCATGGGCAAATAGGCCCAGATGGGCCATTTTGTCATTTCTGGCATCATGGCATGTTGGGCTTTGGAGGCTAAGATCCCTACAAGCGCCTTACCTACCGGCTCTTGGAGAGCCAACGGGCGCAATGCCGCCGGGTGAACTGGCTGCTTGTTTGGTTTCGGGATTAATAACATCCAGCTGGCTTTAAACCAATTTGGTATGTAGGCATGGGGGCGCGTCCATCAATTGGTCAAAATGGAATAAAGCACAGGTGTGATCAAGGGCCCAACTGCTTTCCACACGATGCCTGGAGCACAGGGTCGTGCAACTGCTTTGAGCGCAGGAATGCCCCTCAGTGAGGCAGCCAGCTCTTCCATGGTGAATGGCAAACCTGCAAAGCTGTTCTGCGCTACTGGAAAACGATCTGGTCCTTTCCAAGTTTCAGCAATGAAATTCACAAGCATGGCTGTCTCCTCTGTTGGATTGGCAATGTGTCCTTGGGGATTACGTAGTTGCATGCGTCGTTTTGGTTGTTTAGGGGAAAATTTGTTGATCAGTTGAAAAAGGGTATGTGAATCATGTTTCAACGCCGCAGTCGTTGCACTCTGCACGATCTCTTGAAACTTGAGTTTACGCACCTGTTTGGCATGGACCTGTGCACGGCGTTTCAAGATCTGGAACCTCGCAACATGAAACCAAGCTGTCAAAAGATTTCTGGGATTGATCTGCACAATTGCCATCATGGACTTCCGATGCTGCCATTTATTCATGACAAGATGTGCCGCATGCTCATCTCTGTTTGGAATTGCAGCCTGACGCGGGAAAAACTTCTGAAAATTTCGACAAGCAATCTGATGCATATCTGTGATGAGTGTTTCTTCTGAGAGCGGCACTGTGGTCATGCGCTGCACCAACTGGTCACCAGTGTCGGTGACAAAAGTCTGCCATATTGGAGAATCTTGTTGGAAGGCCACATGGCCCTGCTTGCGTTGTGCAGGGCTGATTGTGGAGGCACATGCATCTTGATTTGTGGGGATCCACTGCTTCCGGATCTGTCCAATCATAGGGGCATGTCCCCATCTGCCACAAAACGGAGCATCCCATGCATATTTGACATATTTGGCACAGCCATCTGCTATGGTCTTGCGTGTAATCAAAAAGTCAATGCGTGAACAGTGGGATTCAAACTGATAGCTAGGCCCTGAGTGGGGATCCCACGTGTTCAGGGCTGTAAGCCCGTGCAGTCTGAGCAAGGACATGAAGAGACCCTGCTCTTCATGCTGCGCTCCAGCTGTCATACTGCCACGCCATTTAAAGACCGAAGGTCCTGCATGGGATTTGAATTGTGGCAGGCTGGTGTTGAAATCTCCAGCTAGGCAGAGAATATTTCTGAGTGCCAGGCCTTGCAAAAGAGTGTCAAGGCTATCCCACCATCGTTTCCGTTCAGCTCTGCGTGCGGTCGTGTGTGCTTGTGTGTGCTGGTAGCAGCAAATCAAATCAATACTTTGGCAAGATCTCTGTATTTGAACATGCAGCAAACGGCCAGGAATTACAACTCGCCAGCGGAGTTGCTGGGGTTTGCTGAGTCTGGTGGAGATCAGACAGAGCACGCCAGCACCACGGAAATCTTTCTGTCCAGAATGGACATGATGCCACAAGCCATCTGTCCATTCACTCTCAAAAGTCATTCTGGTCTCCGAGATGATGGCTACATCAATGTTTTGCACAGCTAACCAATGTTTGATCTCATCCAGCTTATGGGAGGCAAGCCCTCCAGCATTCCAGTGAAAAATCCGCATTCGTCTGTGATCCTGGTTCCTCTTGTTACATGCATGATGGGCTTGGTCTGAAGCTGGCGTGGGTGTCTGTGGTTCAATTACAAGCTGTGACCGCATACAGTTTGGGAAGTCCGATGGGGTATAGCATCTACCCTTGTACCAAGCTAGGCCTTGGCGGCAGGCTCTGGTATAGGCACGTTTGATGCTACGCTTGACTACTTGTTTCTGGGCAGAGTGCCATGGGATAGCATTATAGCTTGTTTCTGGTCGCATGTCATGCTGCTTTGCGTCGCAGGTTGCTATGAAGTCTGTCTGCCAGGCACTGGACGCTTCAGCATCCCTCATGACTGGGATGCAACCCTCACCCCTGAAAGATTCCAAAAAATGGTTCATGGTCAGCATGGATGCACTAAGTATCAAGTGAAAAATCCAAAAACTGCCTAAACGTGTCTTGCAGAATCTTTCCCTGGACTTGGGACCAGGTGTGCCGCGTGTCTGGGTGAAAAAATAGGTATCTTTGGCTCTCAAGCACTGTGTCAGCGAATGGGTCGTGTGGTCCCTGGGCTTCAACAAAGTATTGAAATGTGAAATAAAATGAATGCAAAATCTGAAAACCTGGCTGTCAATCGTGAAAATGGAAAAAGCACTGAAATGTTCGCGTTCCCTCTCAAGGGCGATCCAAGCCAGCAGGAGAGTGAGCAGGAATTGCACAAAAAATAAGTGCCCCAGCGGTAAAATATCAGTGAAATTCAGTATGTCGATCCAGTTCAGTTCAGGGAGAAACGTTGAACTCAGCTGTGAAAAATCAGCGCCAGAAAGACTGTCTGAATGCCACGTCCAATGAAATCGCAGTTGCACGTTTTCCAAATCAGCAGGGCCACCAAGGCCTGTGCACTGTGTTTGTAAGCTCACCGTACAGAAAGAAGTCAGCGCACAATCTTGTATGGATGTGGACACAAAGTCAAAATCCCAAGCTGCAAAATAAAAATGTTGCTGTCCTCCCCGGCCAGTGGAAATGAATCGGGAGCCGACCCCGCAGTGTGGGAGGCAGTGTGTGGCACTTGAGTAGCCCGCGTATTGAAAATTGGTCGCACACAGTTGCTCGTTGTCTCCAAGGCCAGTGTGAATAAAAATGTAACAGGAGCCTACCCTGCAGTGTGGAGCAACGAGCAAAACTTGGGCAATCTGCACGTGTTGTGGTACAATCAATGCAATCTGTAAAATCGTCCAGTGAGTCTGCCAAAAATACCAGTGCCAATTGAGTCTTTGATTTCTTCCCTGGCCAGTGAAAAAGAGTTGACGGGAGCCAACCCCGCAGTTTGGGAGAAATGAAGCACCTGCATCTTGTTTTGAAAACCTGCTGCTCCTCGCTGAGACTGCGTTAACTCCAAGGCCAGTGAAATTGAAACAGGAGCCCACCCTGCAGTGTGGAGCAACGCACTCAGTCTGAAGTTCAAAAAAATCTGTATCGCAGTCGAGAAAATCAAAAGGATCAGATCTGTCTGTTATCAAAATTTCGCACCAGCTGTTGTTTGCACCTTCCGTCGCTGCTTGCTCAATGTGTGTAGTGGTATGTGTCCAGTAGTGGCCAGTAAATGGGTCCCGGGAGCCAACCCCGTGCTTCCAAATAGATTCAGTGGGACTGCTTGCTCCGCAATCAGCAGGAAATTGATGAGGTTCAAAATCTGTGCCTGTCAAAATGAGTCGCTTTTGAAATGTAAGGCCAGTGAAATGCTCTTGGGAGCCCACCCCTGTCCAGTCCTGTGTGGGACAATCAGTCTGGGTGCCCAACCCGTGTGAATCCAAGTGAAAAAGCGCTGCAATCCTCTTGTCAGAAGCGTTATTGCAGTAAGTCCCGCCCAATGCAATCCAGATATAAATGAGCTTTGTCCAAACAGGAGTCGTCGTGCCAGCAGTTGGGTCAACCAGGGTCAAGTGCCCTGTGCAAGAAATGTCTAAATCAGGTCCAGTGTTGTGATGCAGCAAGTTGGTTCCTCAGGCTTATGTCAGAATTGTACAATTTGAGCCGCACAGCAAAGGAATTGGCAAAATGGCAAATGGCAAATGAGCGAAAAAGACAGCGCAGGCCGGCAAACGAAGTCACTACCCAGGGGCCCCACCACTCTACACCTTCCAGGTCACTTGACAGCCGCTCTCGCGGCGGCAAAGGGGCTTGTGTGTGTGTGTGTATGTGTGTGTGTGTGTGTGTGTGTGTGTGTGTGTGTGTGTGTGTGTGTGTGTGTGTGTGTGTGTGTGTGTGTGTGTGTGTGTGGGGGTGTGTGTGTGTGTGTGTGGTGTGTGTGTGTGTTGGTGTGTGTGTGTGGTGTGGGATGTGTGATATTGTTTGTGTGTGTATGATTGTTTCTGTGTGTATGATTGTTTCTGTGTGTTTGCGTGTGTCTGTGTGATTGTTTGTGTGTGTGATTGTTTCTGTGTGTTTGTGTGTGTGTGTGTGTGTCTGTGTGATTGCTTGCGTGTGTGTGATTGTTTGTTTGCGTGTGTGATTGTTTGTGTGTGTGTGATTGTTTCTGTGTGTTTGTGCTTGTGTCTGTGTGATTGTTTGTGTGTGTGATTGTTTGTTTGCGTGTGTGATTGTTTGTGTGTGTGTGTGATTGTTTCTGTGTGTTTGTGCGTGTGTGTGTGTGTGTCTGTGTGATTGTTTGTGTGTGTGTGTGTGATTGTTTGTTTGTGTGTGTGTGTGATTGTGTGTGTGTGAGATTGTTTGTGTGTGTGTGATTGTTTCTGTGTGTTTGTGTGTCTGTGTGATTGTTTGTTTATGTGTGTGTGTGATTGTTTGTGTGTGTGTGATTGTTTGTGTGTGTGAGGGGCTGCAGAGAATGTCATAGTTCTGCACCCAACAATGACGGCTACGATATTCTGCGATATCGATCGGGGACGCTGGACCGACGTACCTGCTTACAATTTGACTTCATTCAGCTAGAACCGGCATATCGGCATTGAAATCACCGCGAGAGTTTTTCCCCACAGTTTACTGTGACGCACGTTTGCCGCAATCTGGATTATTTGTATTATTTGGACAATTTGCCACAAGGAAGGAAGGGTCAGCTCTCATCTTTTGCGTGGCATGGTGGGTACACAATTCTGACCTCAAGAGACTTTCCGCATCCTTTGGCACTCCTCCTCCTTGTCAATTTTACGGAAATGTTTTTGCACGTAAGACGTAAGACGCATGACAACTTCACAATCCGATAAGCAATTCCGAGCAAGTGTGTGCGTGTGTGCTAGCTGCTAGCTTTCACGTGGGAACGAATACTTTCAAACATTCGATTCTT